CTATGCCAGGTTTCCAGAAAATGACAGTCAGAAGCGACGAGCAGTTAAATGAGAGAGGAGTCACTTCTAGAGTTATATCAAAAAAGCTTTTAGGTAATAGTCATGAATGATAAACGGTGATGACTTAAATAAAAGACTTTTTTAAAGGCAATTATTTAAAAAAACAAAACAAATTGAAAGCCTATAAATGGATAATGTTATTCCCTTATGAACACCCTTTTAGGTTTTTAATAAGAGACTGCTATCCCAAATCAATCAAAAATTAAGCTTTAATAGAATGGTTCTATTCAAGACGTCTGAAATATCTATTACCAAGGCGGCTATCCGGCGGGAACGTTTTTGTTTCTTTTTTCTACCTCGGACAAATTGTTAATTTAGCAAATAGGAGAGACCTCAAGAGCATTAATCTTGATTACACAGGCAACTAGAAAAAAATACACGAGCGATGGAAGTTTAATTAACAGGAAAACGTCGCCCAGACAACTGGCAAATTTCGGAGCCTTGCAACAAAAATTTTCAAAGATTTCTTAGATACGGGCGCAGTGACCATGAATGTTAAGCTGCATTTTATAAAAATGGATGAGTGAAACACCATTAGCAAAAGTTTAACAACAGTTAATGGACTTGATAGTAAATAGAAAACTTGTTATTGACATAAAAGGAATGCACTCAGTCTACAAATGTCACACTGTGACTCGGTAGGCTTTTTATTGTTATAATTTCAGTTTCCACTCCCTAGAGTTTTATAATGCATGTTAATTGATTCCTAAAATGATAACATCTATTTTGTCTGCAATGCAAAGATTCCATTTGAATAAAAACTGTTTCTTTTACAGTCTCAAGTTTGGCAAGAGGTATTTCAGGGGCACCCAACGACAATTTTCGGAAGAATATCTGTCCGGAAGACGATTTGAGATCTAGAATTTTCGAAACATTTGTTGTAAAATTTCTTGCTTGCCTGCCTCTCCTAGGATTTTCGAACATGTAAAAAATGGTATAATTGCCTATTTTTAACGGATTTTTACCCTAAAAGGCCACCTAGAATTTTCGGGAGCCTTTTTTCTGGCTGAAATTTTCGAAAAAGTAAGTTTTGATCCCTATTATTTTCAGATCACTAGACTTTCAGCTAGGAAATCCGAACAGATGAAAAATTGTTAGGGGATAAAAGTATGCCTATATCTACCGTTTAAATACTAAAATACGTTTAACAATGCTATGTTTAAGTGGTTTTGAACTATATTCTCGTTGGGTGCCCCTGGTATTTGAAAGCACACATGTATCCGTCAGTGCTTAACCAAGCTTCTTAAAATTAGGGCACCCAACGAGAGGATAGTTCAAAACCACTTAAACATAGCATTGTTAGACGTATTTTAGTATTTAAACGGCAGATATAGGCATATTTTTATCCCCTAAAAAGTTTTCATCTGTTCGGATTTCCTAGCTGAAAGTCTAGTGATTCGAAAATTATAGGGATCAAAACTTACCTTTTCGAAAATTTCAGCCAGAAAAAGGCGCCCGAAAATTCTACGTGACCTTTTTAGGGTAAAAATCCGGCCGTTAAAAACGGGCAATTATACCATTTATTTTAGATGTTCGAAAATACTAGGAGAGGCAGGCAAGCAAGTAATTTTACAACAAATTTTCCGAAAATTCTAGATCTCAAATCGTCTTCCCAACAGATATTTTCCGAAAATTGACGTTGGGTGCCCCTGTCTTAAAATGGTCCGACATGAGAACCTGCAGAGCAATTTAAAAAGTGGCGTCATTATTTTTTCCTTAATTTTCCTTTATTGTTAAACCTGTTCTCTGCTTTTGTTTTTCATTTTCCTAATGAAAGTCATTCTTAGTCTTTTCTGATTTCCAATGATCATAGTATGAGTTGGCTAATTGGCAAGAATACACAAAATTAATATGCAAATAGAAAATACCCTCGAAAAATGATTTTGAATGAATAATAAAGTAATTGTTGCACACGGCTCTCATTTTTATGATCTGAAAACTTATGCAGATTTCGGACCTCAACAAACTAATTCCGCTAATACCCTTCGTACCCATAAAACCGGATGTCTGCAACTCCTTGTAGTGACAGAGTTGTACAAGTGACAGAAAAAATATGTGAAAACAGGAATAGTATTTGGGTGAAATACCAGTCCCTGCTGCTGGCTAGGCTCGCAGCAATTATACAGAATGTTATGGTTGATACTTGTATTCTGGTAGAGTATTTCGTAGAGCGCTCATTTCATTTGATTGAAGAGCATGACAGGAACCTGAACTCCTGTGAAGTTATAATGTTATAGTAATATATTTAGTTTTGTATACTCGCTTTATTTCTTTTAGCACGTTACAGAAAAATTATACAAATTTAGCTGTAATCGTCATTTTCACATAGGGCATAATGCGTCTTGTTTACCCTCCAAAATTTTGCATAACGGAACCATTGTTTCCAATTTCTCAGGGGCACCCAACGAGAATATAGTTCAAAACCACTTGAACATAGCTTAGTTAAACGTATTTTAGTATTTAAACGGTAGATATAGGCATATTTTTATCCCCTAAAAAGTTTTCATCTGTTCGGATTTCCTAGTCTAGTGATCCGAAAATTATAGCGATCAAAATTTATCTTTTCGAAAATTTTAGCCAGAAAAAAGGCTTCCGAATTCTAGGTGACCTTTTTTAGGGTAAAAATCCGTTAAAAATGGGCAGTTATGTTCGAAAATCCTAGAAGAGGCTAGGCTCGATTACCAGCCCCTGTTCGGGAAAATGAGCCCACAAGACCGGACCCGGGAGACGGCGGAAATCGAGCCTAAGAAGAGGCAGGTAAGCAAGAAATTTTAAAACAAATGTTCCGAAAATTCTAGATCTCAAATCATCTTCCGAACAGATGTTTTGGGTGCCCCTGATTTCTCCTGGGCATTACAGTCGTCGCAAGAAGAAATCGAAGACAATATAGTTATGTACAATTTTGGGGAATAAACAAGGTGCGTTATGGTGAATATTGAGGATATCAATATACTGCTGTAAGAATAAAAAATACAACGTTAAATTTTGACTTGCTAACAACTCATCACTAATGATAACATTCTTATGGTAGATAGTAAATAAAATTCCCATGATAAAGTTCTATTCGTTCCCCTGTGGAATTCTGTAACTGGTACTTTAATTTTTATATAAAATTTAGGAACTTATCCGCCTTTTTCGTGGTGCCAACTATGATGGTTTCATTATTTAACATTTTAGAAAAGCATAAACGTTTTACATGTAGTGAAGCAGTATTCTTAAAGATTATCAAAAGCATTTGTAGTATGAGAAGGGTGTCGTAAATTAGCTATGCGTTATTTCTTAGCACAGGCCACAGCGAGACATGGGAATATTACGGAAATACCCCCAGGTTGATAATCATTAAATACTCATGATATCTCCCAGAAAATAAGCCTTAAGTAATTTGATCCTTATCTTGAAAAGGATTATATTTTTGAAGGATTCGTACAGGGGCACCCAACGACAATTTTTGGAAAATATCTGTTCGGAGGACGACTTGAGATCTAGAATTTTCGGAGCATTTGTTGTTAAATTGCCTGCTTGCTTGCCACTCCTAGGATTTTCGAACTCCCCCAAAAATAGTATAATTGCCAATTTTTAGCGGATTTTTACCGTAAAAAGGTCACCTAGAATTTTCGGGCGCCTTTTTTTTGGCTGAAATTTTCGAAAAGGTAAGTTTTGATCCCTATAATTTTCGAATCACTAGACTTTCCGCTAGGATGAAAAATTTTTAGGGGATAAAAATATGCCTATATCTACCGTTTAAATACTAAAATACGTTTAACAATGCCATGTATTCTCGTTGGGTGCCCCTCTTCGTACAGTGCAATGAAAAGGAAACCCGATAAGGTGATTACTGTTTCTAGAACTAAATATTACTTTTTTTTAATTAGCTGTGAATGGATAACTTATCTAGCATGTTTTGTTGTATACTAGGTAAGCTCTTTTTTATACTGCGTGGGGGAAAATGTTTTAAAAATAAAGACTTCTCTTTGCATGTAAAGAAACGAGTATACACGATACTGATCCCTACACATTCTTCTCGAACTAGTGATTATTTTTCAAATATGAATGGATGAATCTTGCCTAAGTATGTTTTCTTTAGTTTTACACGAGCGTTAATATTTTATTGATTATTGTTGTTTTGGCTTGCTTCCAGAAAACACGATAGTAAACACTGTCTTCCCTGTGTATTACTCATCCTCAATTCGATCATTATTAGGGTTAGCCAGCCTTTGTGTGATTCCTCGGTTTTTTGTATTCTCAATAAAAAAATTCCTTTTAATAAATTTATACCTGTCCAGTTTATAATTGGCTTAGTTTGCATTGCCTCTAGGCAATAAGCACACTATTATATAAATATAATATAAAAATTTAATGAAGACATTTATCAATTCAAAACAAATTCCTTCCGTGAAAACGATCAAAGTATCTCTTTGACCTTGAACTTTTGATTTCGCTTATGTAACATTATTCACTAGCACTGACTACGGCCTAGCTCACTCGCTTTGCACCTACATTGTTTTATACCTGGATAGATACGACGAACAATCTGCAATGGAACGTTAAAACGTCTTCAGTAAAACACGACCAACAGACCAGTGTTTTAAGAGGGATCGGGGAACCGATCGACTGCATCGTATATGAATGAAAGTGATAAGACATTCTTGAAAGCCACGAGACCTGACGTTTGCGAGCCAAATATCATTCAATTCTGACACAGGAAACTTAAATTCTGATTCCTTTAGAGCAGTAGCCTCTGCAGCCTGTGCAAATTCAAATTAGACTGCAACTCAGTGTTTTATCCTGATTCCCGGTGATTGCTGAAAGTAGAGCGTAGAGTTTTGAACAAGAAACTCTGGTCCCCTTGATCGCTACTGCCGGAGGGAAAGAATAACGCCAGTCCTCCATTCACTGTCAGCCGTAGAAATCCCAGTCGCTTAGCTTATCTGGAAGCAATTATGGAAGCAGATGAATCTTTCGACACCGACTTAGAGGAAGACAGCGTCTTCGAAGAACTTGAAATCGCCGACGGAAACGACGAGGTTGAGAATTCAGGAAAGTCAGTTCAGGATATTTACCTCGAGGCATGTAAAAATAATGAAGTTTTTCCTTCATCAAGATTCTTGAAACGATGCTTAACTGAGAGCGTAGACCTGAGCCATTACGGCCTCGGCAATCCTGGCACAAGAGCCGTTTGCACAGCTTTGGAAAAATGCTCAAATGTAATAAACTTACAACTTCAAGACAATGGCATTAATGACAAGGGAATCGTGTCAATCGCAAAGATGCTGAAAAGAAATGTTCATATAGTCAAGGTGGATCTGTTGGGCAACCCTATTGGCAAAGGAGGTACTGATGAACTAGGGGATATGCTACTGCAGAACAACACCCTAAAAGAACTAAACCTTAGCAAGTGTAGTTTGCAAGGGAAAAACTTCGTTGTTTTTTGTAATTCAATTAGGTTAGATGCCCCGTTGACATATTTGAATTTGTCATACAACGACCTTGGTGACAAAGGGGCGTCGTCGCTTGGGTCGGCCATCAAGTGGAACACAGTCCTAGTCACTCTGGACATCAGTTGGAACAGCATTCGGGTCGAAGGGGCTCGGGTCTTGGCTGAGGGATTAAAAATGAATACTCGCCTCAGAGAGATGAATATTAGCTGGAATGGCCTTCTTGATAATGGCATTGCATCTATGCAAGATGCATTGTCGTGCAACCAGACGCTCAAAGTCCTGGACATCAGCAGTAATTGCATCTCCAATAAAGGTGTTGCTTCCATAGCAAAGTTTTTGAGGACGAACAAATGCTTAGAAATTTTGAAAACTGGGCGGAATCCATTCCAAAGCTTTGGTGCCTGTATTCTCTTGCAGGCAATAAGGAAAAATCTATCGAGCGCTTTGAGAGAGTTGCAAATGGACGATATAGTCTTTGACAAGGATTGTGCCCGAGAGCTTGAACTTTTGCTGGAAGGAAGGCCATGCTTCACGTGTTCCTGGGATATCAGCATAAAGGGAGAGCGCAAATCGGACGAGATCAAGAATACGACTGATGTTTTTGATGTCTACTTGGCTTTCGTTCGCACTCGAGGGCTCCGCTTGATCGAATTGTTTAAGATTTTATCGAAGGACCGCGATGGTGGCAAGCTCAGTAAAGAGGATTTTGTAAGTGGAATGAAGAAGTTAAATGCGCCATTTCATGACATGAAATTAAGGGAACTGTTTGATAGAATGGACCTAAACGGTAGTGGTGTCATCAAGTTTCAAGATTTCGTTGTTTGTTCCCGTGGACGGTATTCACATTTAGGAAGACATATTTCAGCAGCAACTTAAAAAAAAAAACCAAAGGGCCAGTTTCTTCATCATCACTACCACCACCACCACCATCGTCATCATTATCACCATCATCATCATCACGATTATTATCATCATCATCACCACCACCACCACCACCATCATCATCATCATCATCATCATCATCATCATCATTATCATCATCATCATTACTATTATCGTCATTATAATCTTCATTAAGGTGTCTAAGCGTTTTAGCGCCACTTGGCACTAATTAGGGACACATACAATAAAGAACTAACGATATCAAAAGGAAGATGAATGTCAAGGGAATGTCTAATTTCTGAACTTCTTGTTACAACCGTTCCCAAAAATTCTCCTTACCATTTTCGTATTGATATTTTAGCCCAACAGGAGCATGGGCTCCTGAATCCAACCACTCTCCCTTCTCTCCTTTGGTATATCTTCGTCCACGAGCTCGATTTCACGTGAATTTTAACGTTTAGCAGAAACAAATAACATGCCTCTGCTTTTAGCCAATCACCGTACGGTAAGTGCTCGCACGTAAGTTTGAACTTCGTTCCGAACTTTTCGGATTTTTTTATGCTCTCTCTTCGTTGCTTAGGTTTTGAGCTTTTCCTGCCAGGTACAAAAAGTCTCAATCGCTTAAAACTATGTCAAAATTGTCTTTCTCTGAGAGGAAGGGGTAGAGTTTTATAATATCTACCACCCTCCGTTCTTAAATCTCCCGTGGAGAGTACGAAGTTGACAAAATGACTGTACCTTACTCCCTCTCGCCCCAGTACTCCCTCCTTTTCCTTCCACCCGCCCAGGGCCCAGTTGTTCGAAAGCCGACTAGCGCTTAACCCGGGGTAAAATTTAACTCGGGTTCCTCTTTCTCGTGTTAGAAAGCATTTTTTTCGGACAATTTTCTCTGCTATTTTTAGAGCTTCCAATCATCAGCTTGTAGACAGACAGAATTAAAACTGAAATGCTTTTTAAACTTTCAAATCTGAATTCAAATCTCGCACTAACCCTGGGTCATCTGAACCCAGCTTTGCACAACTCGGCCCTGGTTCAAAAAACACTTGTCGTTTTCGAGGGGTGGGGGGGGGAGGGGAGAATTTGAAAATAGACTCAAATGTTGACTAAATCACGTCCCCGGTATTCGTCGAACCATGTTCAGATCTTCTTCGGAATGCTCAAGTGGATCCCACGTCGTTTCAGTTCTATTACGTTTTTGAAATTGCCTCAATGCATGACTTTTAAAAGGCACATTAATCTTTTGGCTTGAGCTATCAATCGATCAATTTATCAACAAAGGTTAATACGTGGGATGAGGTTGCCCACCATACAAAGACAATAAACAAAAACAAAAAACAAACAAAAAGAAAAGATAACGCCATTGTTTATTTGTTTTGATAGTTAGTACCGAAAAATTGTCATAAATTTTTATCGAAATCAGACTGTATATGATCATCACTCGTCCAACATGATTTTTTTTTGTAGTGTATTTTTTTTAGTGACTGAACTTTGTAATCATCTTCTGACACAAAAACAAAAATCTTTTTATGGGTATATTTGTGGAAAGTTAACGACAAAATAATATAGCTGTAGCTCGACTTAGGGCCTGTTTACATGGAGGTGGGGGACCGGCCCCAGGTAGGTGAGGTAACCCGCTTAGGTGGGGTAACCCGCCTGTCCATATAATCCCTCATTTTAATTTGATCACGTTTACATGTTAAGTGAGGTGACCCACCACATGTTACCTCACCTATCTGGGGTCCCTCACCTCCATATGAACTCAGGCCCTTATTGACATACCATAATACTCTTTGTTTGTCACCCCAAAATTTTGCATAAGCATTGTTTTCAGTTTGGGGCCTTTTTAACTCCCAAGAGAAACTGAAAACAATGCTTTTGCAAAATTTTGGGGTGATAAACAAAGAGTATTATGGTATGTTATGGTATTTTCTGGAGTGGTCAATTGAACAGGAACAACAGAGCGTTTTCACTCACGTGACCAGCATCTATGCAAATTTATTGGAACAAAAGAAAGCGTTGTTCAACTCCCTCAGGATTGATTTGGAACACCAACATGGCCTCGGTTTTATTGTTTTGGAACACCAATATGGCCGCTGTGACGTCATGTGAAAATGCTTTATAGTATTGTATGAGACAACGCCTAACATATCTTCGAAATGCGCATTCATATTGATCAAAACACAGACATAACGTACTTGCCTGCACAGTAGTCAAGCTCTTCCTTTAGAATTTGGACATGTGATGTTGGCAGCTTTTCTTTTGTCGAAGGCGGAACTTCAACAAAAGAAGCTTTAAAATATGGAAATCTTTTTACCACACGGGACTCTCTGAAGCAGTAGTATTTTACAGTTGTTGCAGCACTAGGTAACCACTTGGTTCGGTCCTTGGGGTCAGGGTACATCCAGCGTTCCTCGTGTGACAATACAAGTTTGAGGAGAAGTTACAAAAAGGAGACAGAAACAATTAATTTAAACTTTTCCGATTATTGATCACGTGAAAAATTAGAAGAATAGCCTACCCCCCCATCTCTGAGTAAAAGGTTTTTTCCGGAGGGGGTACTGGAGTATCCCCTAGAAATACGAAAAAGAAATTGGAGGGTCTTGTTTTCAAGCCGACCCGACAGCGAGTCCAATAACGATAACCTCAAAAAACACGTGAGTATTTCCCCGAAATTTAGCACCAATTCATATTATCACGTGATTCCAAGTAAAGGTGGGTTCGTGGTTTGCACATTGCTTTTCCAGTAGCCACATTCCTCTTTTCAACATGGCCACGGGTTTCTCTATAGCGTCTTCTTCGACGGAAAATAATCTTTCTTCTTCTAGCTCGGCGAGCCTTTCATACAAGTTGAAAATAACCCTATTAGATGACCAGTGTACCGATGAGGAAGGTCGCTGGCGGAGGGTTATAGTACCTGCGAATTTCTCGTTGTACGGTCTTCATATCCTTATTCAAGAAATCTTTGGTTGGAAAAGCTATTACATGCATAATTTTATGTCCATGGGCGAAGGGTGCAGTTTGAGCGAGGACGAAGAAAGCAGTTTAATTGAACAACCTTCGAAAAAGCCAAAGAATGACCGACCAGAACATGATCCAGTTGAATACAAAGTGACCGACGGGTACTGGGAAATTGAGAAATTGACCGAAGTTGGAAAATGCAATGGACTTTTCGTTCGCTATTCGCATGTGCACCAGAAAGGCTGTTTTACAAGCCCTCACCAGGTTAGGGGTGAACTAGTCTACAAGTTGTACGATGTCTTCAACGAAGAGAATCGTTATCTTGAATACGAGTATGATTTTGGTGCTTCGTGGAATCATGTCATAGAATTCGAAGGAGAAGAAAAAGACGCTAGCAAAAATGGCGAATTTCCATCGTGTGTTGACGGAAGAGGGGCGAATCGGATGGAAGATTGCCAAGACGAAACCTCGGACGGGGAGCTCAAACCAAGTTTCAAAAGAAAGAAGTTTAACTTAAAACAATGCCAGCGAAATTTACGAAAGATTTTTGCTGGAAAATGGCCTTTTTCCAACGTGGACAGCGCGAAAACCCCAAAATACTACGCATGTTACTGGTTGAATGTCAAGAAGGGAGGATGTCGCGGGACGTCCTGTGATGGAAAATGCTGTGGGGTTTTCCTTAAGTCGGACTACATTCGTCAGTTGGCTGCGCTACCCAATGAAGAGGCAAACAGATTGTATGAGGTCACAGAGAAGCAGTTGAATAAGATACGAAGAGAGTTTTTGGAAAATGGATTATGCAATTACAAGGAGTCAAACGGCGATGCCTGTATTGAGTGTAATAAGTAATTAAGTGATGAAGACCTCACTGAGAAGCTGCAAATCACTACAACTACTCCTTGCCGGCTACCCATAAATTTTTATCAAAGAGTTATTTGCCTCGTTGTTGTTGTCATAGAGTTGAATTTCTGGAATGACAATTTTGAAGGTGCCAAGAGCAATTTACTATTTATACTTGTTACGATTTTAAATTTGCTTCCTTTTGATTAGTGTCCCTTTTTTATATTGACAGCGTGTAATAATCACATCCCGGAATCACATTAGAATTGTTTAAAAAAGAAGTCAAGATAAATGTTATCCAATGCAATTTTTTTCAAACTGTTTTTGACTTACCTTGCAAGTAATTTAATTCATCCAAATAAAGTTATTCTCTTTTCGTTTCAAGTGACAATTTATAACTCTAACGGTTTCTTATCTGCTACTTAATAGGCTCCTGCTGAAGGTCTGTATCCGTCACTGCCCTAGAACAGTGCAATGAACAGCAACGTTGCAATTACACAGCGTTGAGAACGACAACAACGATGTAAACCATTCTTTCCAAACAACAAAACTAAGGTTCGTGACTATTCTACTTTCAATGCAAAATCTTTCATTGACGACTTGCAGAATATTAATTGGAATAATAGTTGCAAACATACCGATGCCAATCAATCGTTCTACAGGTTTTACAAATGCATCAACAAGTCAATTAACCGTGAACACGCCCCTTTAAGAAGTATATCCAATCGTAAACAAAAATTCCTTGCTAAACCATGGCTGACTGCGGGTTTAAGAAAATCAATCAGGGTAAAGAATAACCTCTTCTATACCTCAGACCGGGACAAATACAAATTTTACAGAAATAAAATCATCTATCTTACGAGATTAAGTAAAGCGAATCGAACTATCGAGAACTACTACCAAAGTTTCTTTGATCTCAACATATGTAATATGCGTCAAACTTGGAAAGGAATTAACGAGCTAATTGGAAACTGTAAAAAGAAAACCAAGCGCGACTCAACTATTCCCTCAAACCCAAATGAGGTTCCAACTAGTGACCCGAAGGAAATGAGCAATATTCTTAACAAATATTTCGCCACTGTTGGAAGCAAACTGGCTTCTAAAATTCCTCAGACCATTCTTTGATTATTTAGATCCGCCACTTAATCGCACTTTCTTCTTTGATCCTATTATTCCGCAAGATATCAATTTAGAAATTTCAATTTTGCAAGACAACAAGGCCCATGGTCTCTACTCATTTCCAGTTAGGCTGCTGAAATTGGCAATAAGGGTCATATCCGTACCTCTAGCCACGATTTTTAATCAGTCTATTTGCTCAGGGATTTTTACATCTAAACTAAAGTGTGCTAAGATTATCCCGATATTTAAGGACGAAGATGACACTCTGTCCGAAAACTACCGACCTATTTCTCTGCTCTCGATTTATAACAGGATTTTTGAAAAACTTATTTACTCCAGAGTTACCAAGTTTGTCAAAGATTGCAACACTCTCTATGATCAGCAATACGGTTTTCGCAGTAAGCACAGTACTCAGCATGCTATACTTGATATTGTTAACACAATTCTCCAAAATATGGACAACGGTAAATTTTCGTGCTGTGTTTTCATCCATCTCAAGAAGGCTTTTGATACTGTTAACCATGAGATTTTGTTAGCTAAACTTGAAAATTATGGTATTAGAGGTGTAATCAACTCCTGGTTCAGATCATACCTGACTGATCGAAAGCAAACTACGGAAGTTAATAATGTTGTGTCTGAGGCTGCGACGACCTTGTGCGGCGTGCCACAAGGCTCAGTCCTCGGACCACTCTTATTCCTACTGTCTATCAATGATATTTACAAGTCCTCTTCGTTATTTGCCTTTTATCTATTTGCTGACGATACTAGTATAATACTTGCAAATAACAACCTGAAGGAACTCGAAACACTTGTTAATCGCGAGCTTGGCAATGTCAACGAATGGCTAAAGGCCAACAAAGTGTCTTTGAACATAAAAAAAAATCATATTTTGTAATCTTTCGTCCCCGGCAAAAGAACATGCCCTTCAAACCTAGGATTAGAATTCTTGACTCCGTGACTAACACCTACGCAAACCTTGAAATGAAAGATTATGTAAAATATCTTGGCTTAATGATTGATTAAAATCTTTCATGGAAATACCACATCGAATCTATCTGTCACAAAATCAGCAAGTCGACAGGAATTATAGCTAAGATTCGACATTGTGTCCCGCGTCGTGTTTTACTTTCAGTTTACAACTCATTAATTGTCCCTTACTTGACTTATGGTATTTGTGGTTGGGGAAAATGTGCCTTGAAATTTCAAAGAAAGATCGTCACTCTACAAAAACGGGCCTTACGTCTCATTTACTTCAGTAAGTCTAAGGAACACGCCGTACCCTTCTTCCCCTGCCTAGCCTATTTAGCTATTTATTGTATGATATCAACAGACAGACAGCACCAGTTAGTATACTCAATCAGTTCGTTAAAACAAGTCAGTTTCATAACTACAGAACAAGATCTGTCTCTAGCGACTCGTTTTATGTTAAGTTCTCTAGGACCGATAAAATGTATGCCTTTTTCACGAGAATTGGTGCCCAAATTTGGAACTCTATTCCTTATTCGATTAAAATACTTAAACGTTCGTCCTTTCGTAAAAAAAGAAAAATTATTACTAAATTTCTTGCTGTCAGAAGATGATTATATCGAAGTCTCCCGTCTCATTAAGTTATTTAATACTTTAGGTTAGCCTCTTTTCGTAATCGTTATGTACTTGCCTTGTTTGTTATTTAGTCCATCTATATATAAATCTTGTTTTGTAATATGTCTTCAGCTCCCCCCGCCTCCATTAGTTTATAAGCTATTTACGGGTGGGAAAGTAATGTAATTAGTTATTTTCCAATTTTCAATAAAATTTGTTGTTGTTGTTGTTGATAACGACAAAAGCTGATTGTCAACCGCGTTAAAAACTCTCGTAGAGGTCACGGTGTACGCTTCCTTTACTTCACGATGCCTAGCGCTACTAAAACGTTTTTGAAAGGTTCAGTTTGATGACACATTCTAAAGAGAAAATTTCTTCCAAATTAAATGGGGGCAATTAAATGCACTTCAACGAATTCGTTAGTAGAGTCTCAGTATTATTTGTATTGTTTAAGATGGAAAATCCAAAATGTTTTCGTCAGTAACTTTTTTTTTCCGGGTTAATGAAATTCAGCTCAGGACAGACTTTTAATCCAGTTAAAACCCGCGAGTATTCCCGTGAGTTGCTAGCATTGTCTACTTTTTACCTTTCGTGTTTTCCGATTCCGCCTTCCAATTTCTCCTTTTTAAAACGCTAGTAGGAGGGGAACGTGAATAAAAGTCTCTATGTGGAGCATGGGTTAATTTAATCGAACTTTACAAATGTAATTACCGTGTGGTACGAAATTTTTTTTGGTTCTAATTTTTGCGATTTTTACGGTTTTTCCAGCGATCCGCAAAAATAAGCTCTCGCAAATAAAAATTACCGCAAAAATTTTTCCTCAAAAAATTTACTCCAGAGTAGATATTCACTAATATAAATTCGCTACACAAAAATAAAGTGCTAAGAAATAGTGTCTGTTCAATCACAACTTGTCTCTTTCATTCAGAAACAACGAAATACTGGTTTATTGCTCGGAAATATGTATTTCTATTGCACGTACTCAATAAAAACGAAAATGTTATCAATGCTGGGTACTGGGTACTTTCTGAAAATCGCAAAAATTAATTCCCAGCAAGAAAAACTAATCTGTCCTAATCGCAAAAATTAGTTCCCACAAAACACAAAAAATCGCCAGTCCGCAAAAATATACTCCCGCAAAAATTTCGTGCCACACGGTAGGCTCTTTGCATGACTTGATCACGTGATCAACTTTCGGTAAACACAAAAACAGTTCACTTTTGAAAAACTTTGTTAGCACAAGCTGAAAGAGCATATTAAAAATAGGTAACATGAGGATTTTCAGAAGCGATTGCAACGGCCGCCGAATGTTGGAAGCATTTGTATGAGAAAAACAACTTTTACCATCCAGTCACGCTTGCATGTATTAAACCTGCGAACAGCAGACGTATTTCCGGTCGACGCTTCTCTGCCAAAGATTTAGAGTCTCAAAACAATAGCTACACTGGTAAAATTAATACACTTGTAAAAGTGACCCCGCAAAACTCGACCACTCCAGAAAATACCATAACATACCATAATGCTCTTTGTTTGGTACCACAAAAGTTTGTACACGCATTGTTTTCAGTTTCCCTTGGGAGTTAAAATGTCCCCAAGAGAAACTGAAAACAATGCTTATGCAAAATTTTGGGGTGACAAACAAAGAGCATTATGGTATGTTATGGTATTTTCTGGAGTGGTCAATAGCCATACAGGAGCCCATGATCGAGTCCTGTGTGTGTCATGGGTTTCTGTCCCATATGTGCGATCCACCCGCCATTGTGCTTATGAACTTCCCATGGGTCTCCGAGGTCGTGGTAAAGTCTCGTGATTTTCGTGAAACTCGTAAAACTAAAAGAAAAACTTGTCGGTTGTCGCTAGCGCTTATTTCTTCCGAAATGATTTGCAGTTGTTTAATAGCACTTGTTCTGGCTTGTTTTATAAACTGTTCTCATTGCGCGGTTTCGGTGGCTAAACCGAGCGCCGCTCAAGCAAAGTACCTCGACTACGAGATAGGAGCCAGCATACACTTCAATATGCAGACATTTAATAGAAGTATGAAAGCAGGTAAGGATTTTGGAATAATTTTACTCCTTGAAAAGTGATACACCAGTGTGAAATAGAGTTTCTGAACCATCTAAGCTAGTAACGCTACTAGTGCTTAAGCTTACGTAGCTGCCAACTTTTCTTAGGCAAATGCGTGAGACTCTAGCCTTGTCATGTCATGACGACAGGAGGCCTACACAATCTGTTTGTGTGACCGATGTAATTTTATGGTAGAATTGCACTGTATGTACCATTTGCTTCAGCTGTGGCGGTATATCGCTAAATTTCTGCAAGTATCAAAGCTAATGCATGGCTCAATTTTACTTGTTACAATCCCCCCCGGGCAATCCACGGGACAAGTACCGGGGGTGGTAGGGAGGTGGGGCAAATAAAGAAATATCTTCTCTTTGATTTTGTGAAGTACATGTTATTTCCTGCACTGTTTACACGATGGCTCCGGACCTCAAGACTACGTATTTTTGAGGAAAAACATAGGAATTTGTCGGAGAGTGGCTGGAGAGGAATAACTTATCAAAATTAAAGTTTGTATTTGAAGGTATGTTTAAAATTTGAAACAAATGTGCATATTGTGCATACCTGAATGGATTTTATGTTCTGGAAAGGAAGGACAGAAATATTTCTTCAGCTTAGCTTTAAATAATGATAAGTTTTTATATGAAAATGAATACAAGGCTTTTGATATATATAGAGAAACAGAGACTCGGTCCAGTGTTCTCATGAAGTGCTCTATCGAGGAAGTGCTTTTTAAAGAGTTTTTCTTCTTCGTTTTCGTTCTCAAATTTATTGTTCATGTTTTAACTACATTATGATATCCAGTTCACTATCCTTCCCTCAATAAACTCAGGAAAACGTTTATAAAAGTTGCGAAAATGTGTTGTTTTGCTTTTGTACGGATCAAAAAGATGTAGCAAAAAACATATATGAGGTCAATCGGGAGCTTGGTGGTGGGGAATTGTCTCTTTCTACATGCCCGGGGGTTGGGAATAGACTTCTAAGAGAGAAAAAAATTGAAAATCTCTAGGGGTGTGTCTGAGTGCGTGGGGGCATGGTTACAAGTAAAATTGAACCATGCATATGTTGTGTTACAGAGTGGAAATTGCATTACAAAGTGGACTTTGTGTCACAGAGTGTTCTGAAGTGGTATTTTGAGCAATTTTGAGGGAATTTGAGTTTACTGTTCACTGCTGCTCGTTAATCAACCAATCAATCAATGAAAGACTTAATTTAACATCGAATTTGTTGATAGCAAAATTGCTAAGATCTGGGAAGAAGAACATCAAGGGTGGATTCAATTTTTTGAACTGATCTAGCACCGGAGCGATTTTTCCCCCAGAAAATCACATCACTCTGCTTTCAAACTGTACAGCAAGAAGGTCGAAAGATTCACACTTCTTTTCATACCTTTCAATCAAAAAGCCATCTAAAAGAACCACAGCTAGTCCCTAAAGAAAATCAAGATTCCTCAGTTTTGAATGGTCAAAATGCATAGCAAGATTCATGTGTGCCAGCCAGAAACTGTCCTGCTGATTTCCTCTTTCTGATTGGATGTCATTAACCAAATGGTTAAACAATAACTGATTTATAGCAGACTTGATAATTGATCACTGTTTAATGACACAATTAAAAGGTGTTAATCAGCAGGACTGTTTCTGGCTGCACGTGTGAAACTTGCTACAAATTTTGACCATTCAAAAACTGTGGTATTTATTATAGTGTGTAAAATGTTATTGCAGTGTTTGCTGGGAAAGTTTGTTTGGATAAATGGTAGCTTTTTTATTGCCAGCAACAAGAGAAGCCCACATTATGCATGTGTCACATGTATGTAACCAGCATTTGTTTGGACTTCCACTAAGAATGAATGGAATCCACAAAACGTAATTTGGTCAGGCACGTTTTGACTTTCTACCCTTGTTATCTGATCACGCGTGTTTTAATCATCTTTCAATCATCTTATCTCAGGTAATTTTTCTTTTTCTTTTGTTTTTGGGTATGGTAATATATGCTAATGAAGTTGAAACAAAGGAAAAATGAAATTACCTGAGATAAAAAGATTAACTACAACATATATTTTACGTTTTGCAGTTGTGGATTGTGTTTGTTATAATGAGGATTTCGTTAAATTGAGGTTCTGTTGCATAATTTTTTACTGTAATTTTGGCCAGGCTGAAGAAAATAGTTTGTTGCACTGAGTACTTCGTTATAATTATATAGAGGTTTGTTAAATTGAGGTCCAGTACTGTACTGTGTAGACTGGCTTTGAGCAGTTTTAAGCAGTTTTTTTGCTTGTTCTTGAGTTCGTAGTGCTGTAGCTATGTATAGCTCGGTCCTAAAATGTTATTGAAGGACGTGTGTCAAATATGATCCTAGTATATGGCCTCGCTCTCCATGAGTTCTCTGTAACTCAGGTGGATAGAGTGCACGCCCGATGTTTGGGAGGTTAAAGGTTTGAATCCTGTCTGGGAGTTAGATAAGTTTTGTCTTTGTCCCTCGCTCGTGGCATGCTGATTATTTCATTATCACATATTTATTTGAGTGTTTCCTTACTTGCATTGTCCATGATCAGGTCATGTGGTTTCCCCGGATGCATTTAACCCAACCAAGTTGTCAACAGATGAGTGGTTAAAAGCAGCCAGTAGTTTTGGTGCAAAGTATGCAATTCTCACTTTAGATCACTTCAGTGGCTTTCTACTGTGGCCCACAGAAACAAATTACAACTACTCTGTAAAGAACAGTATGTGGCGAAACAAAACAGGAGATGTGGCATGGGAATTTATGCAATCTTGTTCAAAGTACGGCCTCGAGCACGCCTTCTACTACAGTGTTCATGAGAATTGGTATATGGATGTTGATAACTACAGAACACACAATCCTGCAGCGCAAGCATTTTATAACCACATTGTTGAACAACACATGTATGAACTGTTTGATCCTAAGTCAAAGTATGCAAACCCATTTATTTTTTGGTTTGATGCTGGTATTGTACCTGGTGTTAGTCCTAAGGTTGGGCCAATATTGCGTACATTGGGTAATAATACTATCTGTATGCAGTGTCCAACATTTGCTGGGAATCAAGGAATTCGTTGGGTTGGTGATGAGCAAGCTGTGGCACCATTACCTCTGTGGTATTCAGTGCCGGATAACACGTGTGATATGGGAAAAGGTTAGTAGATAAGTAGCTAGCCTGTATTGCAGACCTTATTTAACAATGGGAACATTTGTGAAGCAGTTCCAAGATCCTTGTTCTGGGCCCACAATGGATTCAACAAATTACTGGAAGTGCGCTTTGAATTTCCTTTCATCGTTAATGGCTTGTTAACAGAAGAATCTTAGGATGTACTCAAATACAGATGGGGACCCAGAACAAGAATTTTGGCGCTGTTTCACAGATGGACTTAACCAGAGTTTTGTTTCATCTGTATTGCAGTCTAGTAGATAAGTTATTACTAACAAATCTCTTTACCAGCAGCCAAAGAAAAACATTAGCCAAAAATTAGCTAGAGCTTGCTTGCACGATGTCTGAGAATTCCACCTCCATTGCCCATTATGGCTCCCCAGATGTTAACTAATCAATGCAAGACAATTCTACACAACCTTCAGTGGCAACAAACCCATCAGCTGGGTACATGGCAAAATCCAACTGCCAGGCCATGCTCCTTCCTCTTTAACAAAACAAAACTGAGTATCTTTTTCAGTTTTACCCCCAGATTGTTTAATTTAAGCTGTTTGACCAATTTCAACTCTCAACTCCATCTGAGACATCTGCAGAGACAGGTGGCAGAAATTTATAAAAATTATAATACTTTGCAATGGATAAATAACTACATGTAATATCATCTGAGGCAAATGGTTGAAATCATAAAACTTTTAAATAAAAAAAGCTGTAGAAAAAACAACAATGGTATTGCTACCTTGAATTTATCCTGCATAATTCCTCGGGTCCCATAGGAAGGAATTTCTATCCCTGGTGGAGTGCCATAAGTAATATATCAAACATGGGACGCAGTGTTTCATCACCAGATGAAACACCGAGAAGAGAGTTGAAAATACGACGCGTAGCGGAGTATTTTTGACGAACTTCGAGGTGTTTCATCTGGTGATGAAACTCTGTGTCGAATGTTTGATATTTCTTCTAAAACAAACTCATTTTTGAAGGAGAAATTAAGGATGCAAAAATGAGCAGTTTTTCATCCGATATCCAAACACTCATTAAACATTAATTTCCTTTGAATTTTCTTTATGAATTATTAATGAGTTTGAGAAGAGCATATTCAATCTGAATGGTCTAAACTTCAGTGATTATTTTGAACTGCAGTGCAGGAGCACTAAGACGAGATCCAACCATCAATATAAGATACAAACCAAACTCGCGAAATTAAGATAATCAAGTTTTGGAACGATTTTCCAAGTAATGTAATCAATTGCCATGATAGTCCAGATATCAACAAGTTTGAACTAAGATTAAAGAATCACATGAATATTTCTTGAATAGACATTCTATACTTTTTTAATGATATTTCTGTGATTTTTATATATTTTTATAAACTTGCAATTATATAAATGTATTTTTTAAATTTTTTATTGCTGTAATTATTATTTTTCTAGTTTTTTTTCTTTTTTTTTCCTTTTTAGGAGATCCTTAATACAGGGTTAACCTCTGGGTTTTCTTTTTCTTAATAACAGTGCTTGTTATTTTGAAATAAAGTACTTTATGTTTGTATGTATAGCTGGCGCTTTTTTGGTGTGTCTTTCTGTGTGTTCAAGAGACACCCAAGAGCAAGATGAACCAGAAAACATGCAAGGTTGATCTGCCTTCTTCCCTCCTTCCTCCCCCATCATTTCCTCATTTGACCCTTGTCAAGTTTTGTGGGGCTGAATCTCTTACTTTGCGAACTGCAAATAACACAGCACACTGCACACACAATTCAAAGACACCAGCCAGTACACAGGCTCTTACCTTGGCTTTAATTAAGGTATAGCCAGTTTGGCATTGGGTGTCAATTTGATAGAAAGCTCCACAAATTAATGTTGATTTTTTTGCGACCCTGTGTATTAAGATTGATGACTTCATGACTAAATGAAATCTCCGCCGATTAGCATTTTGTAGCCTAGCTTTTTTGATACAGAAATTCAAATTCCTAAGATATTGATTGATTTCTTTCCACTCCTACCTCTTGAAGTGCAGGAGAAAAAAATTATCTCAACCATTAACACAGTGTATAATATATCTTGTTAAAGTAATATAATTTATTGAGAAGGATAATTATTATATTAGTTATGAATAATTTTATAATTATTATTCTTTACAGCTGATCCCTTGGGAACGCAGTTTTGTCCGCCCTTTTGTGACACTGTCATAAGAGAGCACTACTGGTTCTGGAAACCAAACACAACAAGTAGAGTGAAGAGTGTTAGCACGCTTGTTAGTGAGTATTTGACGAGTGTCGGAAGGGGCTGTCACATGGTACTCAACTTGAACCCAGATCCTTATGGCTTGGTTGAAGAGGAGGATATGCAAGCATACAAAGAGTTTGGTGAAGCTGTCAGTTTGCTGTACAAAAATCTTGTCTTCACAGACAAAAATCCAGAACTGAAAGTTGGAGTTGAGATAGTGTGGAGCTTGCCAGAGCTTTACTGGATGGGTAAGGGCGCCGTAGTAATCATGGAAAACATAGCAGAATTCGGACAGCTCGTTGAAGAATACCAGCTGCGATTTAAGACCCTAAATGGCTGGCTTGAGTACCCTGAGCAAGGAAGTAGTGTGGGTCAGAAACGGATTCATGCTTTCCCTGCAGCATTTACCGGGGAGGTCATTTCTGCCATTAGCTTAAACGTCACCAAATTGGTGACAAATGGCACCTCCATTACATTACGTGAAGTTTCTGTTTATGACTGGAACGAGGCGGGATTGAAAGGCTATGTGTGAATTAGTAATTGGTAATAAACTTTTGATAATAAGTAGTTAGTTTTATTGTCGCTAGCACAACCCATGTACAGTACATTGTAATTTGCTAAGCCCTCAGAGGGTGCTTCAGGTACTACTTATTAAACAAGATTGAGGTCATCACACGGTAATTTCAGACTGAGGCCTTGATGTATTTAGTGAGCTCAATACATCAAGGCCAAGGTCTAAGATTTCCCTGTTTTGACCAAACAGAGAAGGTTCATTGTAGACCTGAGTCTGCAATCAATTTAAACCAACAACTGGTCCGCAGACAACTTAAAAAAAAAAAAACATCCTCTCAGTGAGTTGTACAGTTGGGCCTGTGATACACCCAGGTGACCCTCGTCAGTGGACACCCCTTTTGAGAACTGTCAATTGACCGTAACATTGATGTCCATAAGGATTAAACACAGATTGAATATGCCTCGGATGCCTGGGCTAGTAATGCCCAGTCATCACAAGAAAATAATGCCCGGTCAGTACAAGAAAAGAGCCAATTAGAGTGCATGTACTATTGTAGCCATATAATTAAATGATATAATGCTCATGAACAGTTAGACAGTAAAACGTACTGACCATAAAAGTGTGCACGATGCTTGCATTCTATCCCCATTTTCTTATTTCCTTGTTCCCAGTTATTTACCTCAAACTCTCAATAACTCGAATTTTTTTCAATTTCCCCAGAAGGTTCCAGTTGTCAGGAGTCAACTTTATATCTTAAATGCAACAGTTTGGTTTGTTGAGAAGTGGTTAATATTTTTTTTTTGCTTTCATAAATTTGAAGACTACCTTTGGGTAGCAAACTTTTTTTCATAGTAGTGGAAAGTTTTTATCTTAAAATGGAAGAGGAAGTTCCACTTATTAAAAGGTTTAAAGATCACACCTTAAAACTCCATGCCCCTCCAAACAGAAGGAAATTTTTCAAGTGGCCGAAATTGACACAACAAAATCCGGCTTTGTACTAACTATCCTGTACTCAAGTATGCTCAATGCAAACAATTAATTAAAATGAATTTTTTATTTACTTTGACACACTCTTTTAAAAGTATTTTTTAGTTGCATTTCTTTGTATTTCCTATTATATTATTATTAGTTTCTAGATGCAACATTTTACACTTTGCAAGTTATTTGTAGAAGGACGTCTGAGAAACTCATTATTTTGTTTCAGTTGTTAGATAATGTAAAAATGACATTAAATCACTGATTTTACTATTATAGTTTTGTGTTTAGTCTAGAGAAATTAACATCCTCTTTTTGACCAACACCATACATGGGATCGTATAGTTTCTCCATTTGTTTGATTCAAAGGCCGAAAATGTATAAGAGATTAGGCATTCCTAGCCATGCCCAAAACATGCATGTGGGACATTTCTCAGAGGAAATGATATTCCGAGCACTTGCTATAATACTAGGGACGTTTGGAAAAGGCATTTTTAAGCAATGCCACCAACTGAAAGTGACGTATTTTCTCTTTTCATACGTCTTAATACTACGGAATTTGTGTTTTCAAGATGTTTGACTCTGAAAGAGATGATTCTCCTGAACTTTTAGGCAAAGCACTGCCCAAGAATACAAAAATTTCTACTTTCAGTTGATATGTGCTGCTCAAAAAATACTTCATGTTGGCCTGCATAACAAGTGCTAGGAAATAATAAGCGACAAAGAACGGATCATACAACGTTTCTGGGAAACTGGGCACCTACCCCTCTCCTAAGCCAACATTTTCCCCTAAGTGAGAAATAAGTGCTGATTTTGGCTAAGGGGAGGGGTAGGTGGGCAGTTTTCCAGAAACGTTATTATGAGCCGAAGAACAGGGGATGTGACGGAACACACTAAAATTTAATGTTTACAAACGATCTCGTGTGCAGACGTATCCCCTCAGGAGCCTTCCAACCAATAGGAATTTTCCACACTCTCAGAAAGGGAGTAAAAACCATCTTCCTGGGCCTCTTAGGCAGGCGATCCCTTTCCCCTTGTGTGTGTCTGCCTCGCACAACCTGTTTTCTGTTGGCCTCATTATGTCTAAGCACCTGCTATGCAGGCTACTCCATGTTAGTCACTAACCTTTTAATTAATTTTGTAAGCTGGTTGACTGAAGAGACCTCACCTACCCCAGAAGACTCAAACTTAGCCTGCTAGCAAGCTCTCCATTTATGTTGAATGCAAAAAGAGGTCTGAGAGAAAGCGTGAGCAAGCAGTGAAGCACTTGCATCTCCTTGTGTGACGTTTGTGACTCCCCCAAATAGGGAGCTTGCTCACAGGCTAACTCAAACTCACACCCACATCACTGTCACAAACAAAGTTTTGCTACTATACACACACCAAACTGTGGTCCTATACAGTGTAATACTTGGTTCTTACATTGTGTTCAAATAATCAAGACAATCACCTATTACACCTTCCATGTGACATGGGATGAGCTGGACGACTTGGAGTGATCAAAATCAACTGGATAGAACTGACTGGCCTAAAGAGGACGGTTTCTATAACATTATAACTACCCAAATGGTCTTGATCATCCCACCAATTGAGAAGATCCAGACCTGGATTCATGAAGGCTTTACATTGTCTGCTATGATTTTGGGGAAAAAACTATACTTAAATTCACGGAGTAAACTAGTAGTAAGGCCATCGCCACAATTTTTTCCTCTTTTCTATATTAATTTATTAATTTGGGGATCTTTCTTAAACAAAGAAGCGAGACTGAAAGAACTAAAGGAGAGTAGATTAGAACAATAACCCACAGACCTTTTGTTTATGGTAATCCCAAAAGTGCATGCCTACTATTTTGCATGACTGACATACATTTTAAATTTAAACCAGGTTCTATATCTACAGAAGCCCAAACATCTCTGTGCGAGTCAATCAAGAGAGTTGGAACAAGAGCAACAAAGAGGCATGCAATAAGTTGAATGAAAATGTTTGCTACACAGACTAAGTCTTACAGCATAAATTATCTATATCAGCTCTGTGTAAATGTGACACATCTGTAAGAATACTGTCCAACATCAACAATAATTTACACTCTTTAGAGCAACCACCAGTTTGCTTTCCTCTGGTATTGTTTTGTTTTCTTGAAAGGTTAAATCTGGGATGGCCAGAAGAAAAGAGACCCAAGATAAACAAGGGAATGGCCTAACCTATGCTAAAAACTACCAAACAGGGCCAGGAATTTGAAGGGTACTTTACAAAGGAATGTTGCCATGTTTCTTCCAAGGATTGGTAAGTTGCTTGGTGGCTAGCACTTCAAGATCCCTGCAGATTCGTTTGCGGGTCATGTGAGGCTTGATAATGTCATCCACAAATCCTGCATACAAAAGAAGGGTAATATAACATAATTTATTGTTTCCATTTACTGGTAGACTCTACAGGTCAATGGCAAATAGTGCTAATATTGACTTAGTGGGGATTGAAAGTTTCATAGACCGTTCCAGTCTCCAAGAAATTGCAGAAAGCAGATCAAGAAGAATTGTGAGAAAACTGCATAGGAGGTGGAAAGAGACGGAGTGATGGAACCTGTAAGCATTGTTTTCAATACCATATTTCAGTATACCAGCTCTTCGTATACCCTATGATCGGTCAACTATGACAGATTTTTTCAACGCTTATGTCAATCATTTGGCTTTACATATCTGTTGAGCAAAAAACCCTACACCACACCTTTAGACTCTTTGACATTTCTCATTTGGGTGGTGTAGTGGGCAGATTAAGCTATTTGAAAAGACGCTTACAGGTTCTCCTTTTCTCCCTTCCTGCTGTTTTATCTTGTTTGTTAATTCACTGCTTGCTCACTTTTTCCGCTCTTCCACACTGCCCAAGAGCCTGGCTCAGGCTGAAGCTTTCAGTGATGATTATTCATAGAAACTTCAATCGGGGACTGAGTGGGGAGGGGAGAAAGAGCTAGGTGTAAGGACTTGGGGAAGTGCAAGAACACCTCCTGCGTTTCGCCTCTCCCCTCTCATTCCCAGCTCCCACCCCTTTTTCGTTTGCAAAATTTTAAGCATTGCTGCATATTTTCCTCCTATTATTTTCCTACCCTTTCCACTCTATTAGAACCCCTAGCCACCCTTTCCTCTCCCACCTTCCGTACCTGTCCTGCCCCCGTGTCCTGGGCCTGGGCTTCTGACACCATGTCCTCCCCCACATAAAAGTTGGCATGGGAAACAGAAAGATGTAACAAATGAAAATGTTATGAAAATTTACCTCTTGTGGCAGCTGGGAATGGATTGGCAAACCTGTCCATGTATTCTGC